TATAAGACCGAGCGCCATTTAGAACGAACATTCGGTATAAGACCGAACGTTACGTATTTTTTAAGTTTAAAGTATTATATACCGCTGAGCTGAACCGAACGCTCAGACATTCAAATGGGGACGCTCGGTCTCGAGCAGAGTTCTTTCCAATGAAGAATCATCTAGTTATTTTAAGGAAACCGAACGGTCTAAGACCGATACGAGTGACGAGCCGTCATTTATCAAAGGGAATGATTTACAGTTTCAGATTTCTCAACAAACAAATTCCAGATTTCAACATTTTAACTGATACTTTATCTTCATATGATCTCAAATTATGACTTATTAACTTTCACTTCCAAATGTAATTCACATTCAACAATCATCACATTAATAACTCATACTTACAATATTCAGCCATCATTCATACGTATCAAACTAACATGCAAAAACAAACAGAAGTCATATCGATATCAGTGAACGTTCATAACAGCTAACATCATACTTTCATACAGCCAACTCAGATCATAAAAGGCCAGGTATAAATTAAACCATATAAGCTTCCTTACCTGGATAGCAGTGTACGCCCTAATGCAAAAGTTGGGTTTGTCTCTTACAGTGTTCTACCCTCAGTTTCATAACACTTTCACTTGATCTAACATCAAAATCAGAGATGGACTCAGATATAGTCCATGCATGAAAAGAGAGATGGTTTCGCATGAAACCCTAATGGACAACTACTAGAGATAACACTACCAGCTTGTATTCCAATACTGTTCGGTTCAAAAGGAAGATCACAGCTGAGACGAACACTCCTATGGTGCTTGCAAAACGTGATCGGAGAGAGGTGTGAGATTTTACAGTAGAGAGAAGTTAAGGGTTTTAGAGAGAAGTTGCGAAGGAGATGAAAGGTTGAGTTTCGTGAGAAGAAGGTGAGTAATGCAGGAGAGAGAGTTTTTCAAAATCCAGTTTTGTTAAACTCTAGTTCATTTGAAGAACATCTCCAAACTGACAACTGCTACACAAACTCTAAACTAAAACTTCTCCAGCGCGACAAGGTGGCGTGTGTGCATGTGGTGATTGGTGCGTTTTTAATGCCCTGGGAAAATGATGGGCGTGTCTTTCAAGGCACGGCAGAATGGATGAAAAGGAATTAAATTCTGATTTGACATGTATTTCAGAGTTTAATTATTTAGGGTCTCACAATACAAAAATCAATAACAATCAAAATATTAGATATGGTTCTTTAAAAAATAATTAAGTTAAAATAAAATAAATAAAGATATGAAACCCTTTATAATTAATAAATGCTTTTTGAAAGAACTACACTTAACTCCCATTCTCCTTACATTTGATGAGATCTAAACAAGTAGTCTATTATTCTTCACTAAAAGTAATATTATCATTCTTATTTTAATAAAAATTTTGTTTTTTATTTAAATGAATGTAAAATATATTAAATAAATTAATAAAGTTATATTGTAATTATTAATTATTTGATAAATTAAATAATATTTTTTATATGGCATCACAAATTAAATACTTTAAGTATGTATGTCAGTATTGGTTAAAAGTTTCTATTCTTTTTTTAGTAGCAACTCTCTAGAATTTAAACCTAACAAAAAATGTTCATTTTGCTTATGTTGAGTTAATATGTTTGATAAATATGTTATAATCCTTTAAATGATTGACATTTACATATTATTCAGAGGAATTTTTATAACTTTTGGTAATCTAACTTTTATAATTTTTAGTATATATACTTTTGTTTTTCTATGAAGAACTCTGAAGTTAACTTTGTATCGGAATGAATTATAAATATAGAAAACATCATAAAATTTTTAATACGTGAATTCTAAATAAAATGTTTAATAAATTTTTTTATATTTCTCACGGGGTTAATAAATATTATTATATAATGTCAAGGAAATATTATTGTATTTCTTTTAGTTTAAAAGTAAAAATCACTGTTTTGGGCCAACCAATTTCTACTCTGGCCCAAAGTTTCAAATGAAATTGGCCCAGGAATTATAGAGTTCAACAGCCTACAAGTCTGTCCAATAATGAATTTTACTTCGTGCACCGACAAAGTTTCTTCGTGCATCCCCACAAAATTTCAAAATAACCAATTTACTATTCGAGAAGTGACTTCTGGAATATATGTTTCAGAAACTTTTCAAGCTTTTCAGAACAGATTTCCTGGAATTTGAAGAAAAGGTTTCTGAAATAAAATTTTCAAAACAGAATTTTTGGAATCAGATTTTCAAAACATAATTTCTGGAATTAATTTTTTTGTAATGCATGAAATACATTCTATGCTGGAATATTTAACACTTCAAAACAGTTTATCATTTTTGATATTTTATTAATCCTTTTTTACCGGGACATAATATCAGGTTTCCAAACTGTACGTTATTCCCTCTATCTATTTTACTTTTCTATCTTTCTGTCCCATAATAAATACATAATTAAATTAATTAAAATATTTTAATATAAATATTTTAATATTTTACGTTAAATGATTATTTTAATATTAAATGATTTTAATATAAATAGTTTTATTATAAATTAATTTCATTATTTTAAAATATACAATCTCTCTACAAATAACTTTTTTTTAGAGATCTTTGATTTGTCTTTATGAGTTCTTCTCCTACAATCATATGTTTGAATATCAAATACCTTATGAGTTATCACAGCAACAAGATTTTCAAGTTTATCCGATTAGTTTTTCTAAAAGAATAAGTTTTTTTTTTTTTTTTTTTTGCTTTGGTCTTTCTCGTTTCCTTTGCATACGAGCCTTGATGTTTTTGCATGTGAAATTTGAGTATTTTATAAGACTCTCTGATAATCAGTGATTATAATGGCGTACCCTAATCATGTTTCCATTGTTCGTATGAGCAGATAGTGTCCTTTGATTTGTGGAAACTGTTTCGGGTTCTATAAATTTGTGCAGTCGTTTAACAGGTAAAGGTAGCTAGTTATATTAGTTTTAACTTGTAGACATATCTTAATTGATGCTTGTACGATGGTATATGAGTTGATTTGTGAAATTGAATTGATTTGTGAAATTTGATATGTTGGGTTGCATGATGAAGTTGGTATGTTTAGTGGAATTTAATGTATTTTTGTGTGTAGATGAATTGGTGCTTTTATTCTTGATTCTTGAGGATTTGAAAATATTAGATTGGTTATCTTGATTTAATTAAGTGTTGTTGAACTTTGGTATGATATTAGGTTAAAGAAAATGGTGGGTTTTTGGTCTAGAATGGGGTTTTGGCATGTGAGTTTCTAGAGTAGTGGTTAATAGGAAAAGTTTTAAGTTTAAGATATGTTGTTAGGTGATTTAGAACTTGTTTGGATACCTATTTTACCAATATATGATTTGAAATGTGTAGAAATTGAGAGGGGGGGGGGGGTTAGAGGGAGATTTGGAGTAGGTGAGTCTGAATAAAATGCAAAATGATATAAATGGTACTTGAGTTTAGGTATAAATATATTGGTGAATCCAATTTAGTGTTTTGGATGTTAGATTACACTGAGTGTTTGTCTAGGGATGTATTAAGGTAGGGATTTGGGGTTTGTCTAGCCATAATTCTACATAGTGTTGTTCTCCAGAATTATGCAGAGTGGCTGGGCGAGAGTTCCCGTTGGGTGAGCAGAGCCCACGGTTTCTGCAATGGTTGGGTGAGAGTTCCCGCTGGGCGAGTAGAGTCCACTGTTTTTGTAGTCGTTGGGTGAGAGTTCCCGTTGGACGAGCAAAACCCACATTTTTTGTGGTGATTGAGCGAGAGTTCTCACTGGGCAAAGAGAACCCTCTATTTTCGCTGGACGAGAGTTTTGGATCGTTGGGTGCCAGACTTGGTGTTGGTGTCTGTTCTTATAATTCCTTTTATTATTTTCTTGATTTCTTTAAGTTATGTTTTGTTTGATTTTGAGTTAGAGTATACTTGATTTGATGTTTATTGAACGATATTAATCTGATTGTGAGTAAGGATGATATGTAATGTGAGAAGAATCTCAAGGAGATGTTCTATGGTTGAGACAATTATTGTGAATGCTTGACAAACAAATTTTTGAAATGGAGTATCCTTATATTCTACCTGTCATTCAACTCATGTATAGATGAATAAGGTGGTGGAGAGAATGACAGAAGGTTTTTACCCTAGACTTTTGAGTCTTATGAGTGAAATATTAACCTCATGAGTAGTTGGTCGAATTACCCTTGGTTATAACTTTGCAGAGTATAAATACTACCATGAGTGCAAACTTTATATCAAAGCATTGTCAGATAATTTAGTCTAGAGTTAAATGATTATATGTTTATATGAATTATAGAATGTTTCAATGTTGAATTAATATGTGATGTATTAAATTGTTTATGAAGTTTTCTTTCAAATACTAGCTTACCCTGTTGTCTATTTTGTTGTTCTTGGTGTGTTGCTCGTTTTTTTCCTACGATGATCACTTTATTGGTAGAAGCATATGAAAGATAGGTGTTGAAGTATCGTTGATGGAGAATGGTGAGGCTACAAAACATCTTCTTAATTATCTAGTGGTTAAATTTAATTCTTATAAATATTATTATTATTATGGTTATTTTATTTTAGATAATTATACTAATATTATATCTATTAGTGGTGACAAATATATTTTGTTTTACCAATTTTATAATATCTTATTTTTATATGTGATAAACTGCTAAAATTGAGATGTTAAAGTAACAAGCTCATGTTGAATTTCGTAAACAATAATAAATAAGAAAAAATATATTTGAAGATACTACAATTTAAAAGGAATTTTTAATCTATCATTTTTTAGTTTTTAAAACATTTTTTAATCTATAACATCAATCAAATTTTTCATCAACTTTAATAAGTTTTATTTTCAAAATTATTTTTTATCCTTTTTAAATCTTTACAAAAACACACATATTTAATTTCAAATTCATCTTATTTAATTTTCAAATTCATGTGCTTATTCTTTCTTAAATTCATCTTAAGTGAACACATACTATACCAATGAACATAGACTATGAAGAAGAAGAACGAGTGAGGAAGAGAGTAACTGAAAAGGTAAAAGAAAAAGAAGTAGATGGTTTATATAAAAAGGACTTTACACTTTATGAAAGGGTTGCCATCATCATCTATGGTGAATTTAAGTTGAGATGGTGGCACTTATGATATGGGGAAAGGTGGGCTGCATCAGTGCTTAATCTACAATGTCACATCACAATGTGTAGAAAGAAAAAAAAAACACCTACGACCCCACTTCAATTTCTTTACGCTAAAGTGTAATTCATGCCTTCAATAATTCACTCAAAACCTCTATTATTCAAATTTCCTTACTTTCATCCACACCAGTTTCTAATTTTAGTATGAGTTTAATTTCTATTTTATTAAAAAATTGTAAAGATATGGGACTGCAGGTCTAAATTTGCATATTAATTAAGACAAAGAAACACAAGAGAGTGAGCTAATTTGCATAAAGGAAAGTTATATATATTAATAAAAACATCTTGTATCACAATGCACTCCAAACAATCATATAAATATAAATCATATAATTAACAACTCTTTTAAACCCAATTATCTGGATACATGCATTTAATGTAATTACCAAAGACATGCATTTATGGTGACCTCTGCAGAGTCATTGTCAATGAAATTCACTCTACCTCTCGTAAGTTAATCTCCTTCAAGTAATGAGCCATTATTCTATCTTTTGACTAAGATCTCGTAATGCTCTCACCAAATAACCCATTATATTCTATATGAATGTGAATGGTTATTATAATGTTACGATATCTTCTTTTTTGAGTTCATACATCAATGCATACACTAAAGAAGTCACAAAACAATAGGATTTTCCCCATAGAATTCTTTTTAATTTCATCAACTCATGTATCTACTACAACTTTCTCACCATTAATTATATGCACCATTAAAATCATGAACAACAATAGTATCAAATATTAGAACCATCAAATTAAAAATATAAAAAGATAGTGTATCAGAACACACAAACTAACATTCAATGGTAACAAGGCGCGCTCAACTTTGAAGCTACATAGGCTTACTGTTAAAGGAACACTTAAACGATAAAGACTGATGCTCAACACTAGTAGTCCCTGGAACTCTGTGACTTAAGAACGCTCAATTGTGAAAACCAACATTCAACGTTAAGGTCATTGGAGCTCTTTAAGTTGAGATTTTAAAGTTAGCGTTCGGTGTCACTGTGGTACAACTTAGCACCATGAAACATAATTGTTGTTGGGTACAATTTAGCTTGTTCAAATTGACGCTTCTAACTTTTTTCTACTTTGACGATTTTCTAACCCAAAATTCTTTTATTTGCATAATACCAAAATCACCCAACAAATCAAACAACACAATTTAGCATAACTTAACTACATGTTATATGACAAATTCAATAAACAGAGTGTAATATCATTCCAACCCAAAATAAAATTCTCAACCCAACCCAAGTTCACAACATATGAAATCACAACCAACTATTTAAATAAAAACACAAACTGTATAACACAAGAATTAACTTTCCTCAACAGTTCTAGATTGATTTAGACTTGAAAAAGTTTTCGAACTTGTAAATATCTTAACTCAACTTAAAAAAAAAAAAAAAACTATTGGACCAAACTAAAACAATCGATCATTCTCATCCATTAATTTAACATTTTATTATTGTTATTTATGTTTTTCAATAATTTGTTTATAGATCTTCCAAGGATAATCATTATCGATTTTCTGCGTTTACTTAATAATAATTTTACTAAATAGTTCTTTTATTTAACTATTATTATTATAATAGATTAAATATACTTTTTTTCTTTAAATTGTATTCAAATTTTTATTTCATCCTTAATTAATTGTATATCTACTTTATCTATATTTAATATAAAATATAATTTTTAATAAATGACATATAAAATATTTTTATATGATAAATAAAGTTTTAATAATATAATTTCTACATATTAATAAATGAAAAATATTTTACACAATTTTAATCAAAGATAAAATAGATATATAATTTCGTTTAAAAATAAAGTACAATTTTTTTAAAACAATATAAACACAAAAAAATATTTAATTATTATTATTTTGATATCGCAATATCTTTTCAAATAGGTTTATTATTTATTTGTAACTATGATTTACATGGAATATTGATTAGAGTTAATCCTATAAAAAGTTATCATTTTTTATGTACTCATTTTATTAATTTTTTTTCTCATTGATACTTTTTTTTCCGATTATAATTACCCGATTAAAATTAAAATAAAACGTGTGGTGGCATGTTTTGTTTGCCAACCATTTAGGTGGCAAGTTTAGTACACGTCAATACATCAATAGATTTTTTTAAAGATTTTGTTTAATGCATCAATATTTCTCTTATATATGAATCCATTATATGTGTTTGTTATCAAACAATTTATACTCACATCTTGTAAGGAATGATCTATGTCATACAAAAATTGCATTCAATTTCCGTCACGTGCAAGAACTTGTGCAATTAACGAAAGTTACAAATTTCAAATAGAATTAGTATTTCATTAATATGTTGGAGGATGAAAAATTAATCTTATAATATGCAAGGTTGCATAATTAATCACGTTTTCTTATGTTGTGATATAACATCATTAAGGAGAAACCAGAAAAGGAGTTACACACAAAATATCCTGCAATCAAACAAATCATAGTTAGGCTTGCATAGGACGTCTAACTAACAAATCATTATTTTTATGAATGATCAATCCTTATTTGAAAATTTTATTTTTCCTTAAAAAAAACAGTTAGATATACAATTAGATTCTACAAATTTAATCAAAAGCTTAATTAACTTTGATCCACAATTTTAGCAATGAGACTAGAGCTAAATAACTAAAATTTAAACACATAAAACACGACATATACCTTCTCCTTGTCTGAAAAGTGAAAAATAACAATTTCAAATAGTTTTATTTTTTATCTCAAAATCAACCATCAATGGTAAAGTTTTTCTTTTCAATTGTGATGTTTACTCATTTGCAAATTTATTTTGTTCCATCGGAAAAATCATGTTACAGATTTGAAGAAAACACAATGTGAGATTCCTTCTTATGAACTAAATCCCATTTTGGGTTTGATATGGTGTTGGTTACATCTAATTCTTGTATAGAGGGATTTGATTTTGATTTGAAGTGTTGTAAATCATATTCATATGTTTATGTATATTATAATTTAGTGATGTAAAAAGTAATAATTTTTTTTGTTACAGATCCATTTTGTGCTTCTTATCAGTCGACAAGGAAAAGTAAGGCTCACAAAATGGTATTCACCATATTCTCAAAAGGAGAGATCCAAGGTATCATATCAGTTATCAATTATAAGAAAAATTATACTTGACACAAAAATTTTACATTCATTTGACATAGTTTTTTCTTAATTTGTACTTTCTTCTTGAAAAAAATACAAAAATTCACTTCTTTATGATTATTTTACTTTTATACTGTGTGTCAAATGAAAGTGTGTCATTCTATCATTACTTCCATTACAATGATAACTCATGGTAATTACAATTACTCATAATATTCAGATTGAGTCATAAATGTAGTTTTTCTTGTATTAAAATTAAATGTATACAACATTATTGCTTAACCTTATTCTTATTTTATTTGTTCTATTTCTTTATGCTTTGGAAGATAATTAGAGAGTTATGTGGATTAATTATCTCTAGAGCTCCGAAACTGTGCAACTTTGTGGAGTGGAAGGGATTCAAAGTTGTTTATAAAAGGTTAACTTTATTGTTTTGAATGTATGGTTAACAAAATACATTCAAGTGTAAAAGTTGACAATGTCTTAGTTTTGGTTATTGATTAGATATGCTAGTCTCTACTTCTGCATTTGCAATGACGAAGAAGACAACGAATTAGAGACCTTGGCCATTATTCATCACTTTGTTGAGACGTTGGATCGTTATTTTGGCAGTGTTAGTATCAAATATAGTTGTATTATAATTTTTTCATAATTTGTACTCATGGTCTGAATCTGTTTATCTCTTACTTCTCTTATCAGGTTTGTGAGCTCGATTTGATTTTTAATTTCCATAAGGTAATTTGTTTCCTCTTAAACTATATTTGCATATTGCTAGAGAACATTAGATCTTATAATCAAATGTCATGTTAAATATTATCTTCTCCTATTCTCACATCTTTTAGAAATATGGTATAAATACGTCTCATTCGAGACACATTTGACTTATTCTATAAAAGTTATGTAAGAAACTTCTTTAATTTTTTTTACTTAGTATCTCGATGGNTGAAATTGAATTGATTTGTGAAATTTGATATGTTGGGTTGCATGATGAAGTTGGTATGTTTAGTGGAATTTAATGTATTTTTGTGTGTAGATGAATTGGTGCTTTTATTCTTGATTCTTGAGGATTTGAAAATATTAGATTGGTTATCTTGATTTAATTAAGTGTTGTTGAACTTTGGTATGATATTAGGTTAAAGAAAATGGTGGGTTTTTGGTCTAGAATGGGGTTTTGGCATGTGAGTTTCTAGAGAAGTGGTTAATAGGAAAAGTTTAAAGTTTAAGATATGTTGTTAGGTGATTTAGAACTTGTTTGGATACCTATTTTACCTAAGATATGATTTGAAATGTGTAGAAATTGAGAGGGGGGGGGGGTTAGAGGGAGATTTGGAGTAGGTGAGTCTGAATAAAATGCAAAATGATATAAATGGTACTTGAGTTTAGGTATAAATCTATTGGTGAATCCAATTTAGTGTTTTGGATGTTAGATTACACCGAGTGTTTGTCTAGGGATGTATTAAGGTAGGGATTTGGGGTTTGTCTAGCCATAATTCTGCATAGTGTTGTTATCTAGAATTATGCAGAGTGACTGGGCGAGAGTTCCTGTTGGGCGAGCAGAGTCCACTGTTTCTGCAATGGTTGGGCGAGAGTTCCCTGTGGGCAAGTAGAGTCCACTGTTTTTGTAGTCGTTGGGTGAGAGTTCTTGTTGGACGAGCAAAACCCACATTTTCTGTGCTGACTGAGCGAGAGTTCTCACTGGGCAAAGAGAACCCTTTATTTTCGCTGGACGAGAGTTTTGGATCGCTGGGTGCCAGACTTGGTGTTGGTGTCTGTTCTTGCAATTCCTTTTATTATTTTCTTGATTTCTTTAAGTTATGTTTTGTTTGATTTTGAGTTAGAGTATACTTTATTTGATATTTATTGATGTTTATTGATGTTTATTGAACGATATTAATCTAATTGTGAGTAAGGATGATATGTAATGTGAGAAGAATCTCAAGGAGATGTTCTATGGTTGAGACAGTTATTGTGAATGCTTGACAAACAAATTTTTGAAAGGAGGTATCCTTATATTCTACCTGTCATTCAACTCATGTATAGATGAATAAGGTGGTGGAGAGAATGGCAGAAGGTTTTTACCCTAGACTTTTGAGTCTTAGGAGTGAAATATTAACCTCATGAGTAGTTGGTCGAATTACCCTTGGTTATAACTTTGCAGAGTATAAATACTACCATGAGTGCAAACTTTATGTCAAAGCATTGTCAGATAATTTAGTCTAGAGTTAAATTATTATATGTTTATATGAGTTATAGAATGTTTCAATGTTGAATTAATGTGATGTATTAAATTGTTTATGAAGTTTTCTTTCAAATACTAGCTTACCCTGTTGTCTATTTTGTTGTTCTTGGTGTGTTGCTCGTTTTTTCCTACGATGATCACTTTATTGGTAGAAGCAGATGAAAGATAAGTGTTGAAGTATCGTTGATGGAGAATGGTGAGACTACGAAACATCTTCTTAATTATCTAGTGGTTAAATTTAATTCTTATAAATATAATTATTACTATGATTATTTTATTTTAGATAATTGTACTAATATTATATCTATTAGTGGTGACAAATATATTTTTTTTACCAATTTTATAATATCTTATTTTTACATGTGATAAACTGCTAAAATTGAGATGTTAAAGTAACGAGCTCATATTGAATTTCGTAAACAATAATAAATAAGAAAAAATATATTTGAAGATACTACAATTTAAAAGGAATTTTTAATCTATCATTTTTTAGTTTTTAAAACATTTTTTAATCTATAACATCAATCAAATTTTTCATCAACTTTAATAAGTTTTATTTTCAATTTTATTTTTTATCCTTTTTAAATCTTTACAAAAACACACATATTTAATTTTCAAATTCATGTGCTTATTCTTTCTTAAATTCATCTTAAGTGAACACATACCATACCAATGAACATAGACTATGAAAAAGAAGAATGAGCGAGGAAGAGAGTAACTGAAAAGGTAAAAGAAAAAGAAGTAGATGGTTTATATAAAAAGGACTTTACACTTTATGAAAGGGTTGCCATCATCATCTATGGTGAATTTAAGTTGAGATGGTGGCACTTATGATATGGGGAAAGGTGGGCTGCATCAGTGCTTAATCTACAATGTCACATCACAATGTGTAGAAAGAAAAGAAAAACACCTACGACCCCACTTCAATTTCTTTACGCTAAAGTGTAATTCATGCCTTCAATAATTCACTCAAAACTTCTATTATTCAAATTTCCTTATTTTCATCCACACCAGTTTGTAATTTTAGTATGAGTTTAATTTCTATTTTATTAAAAAATTGTAAAGATATGGGACTGCAGGTCTAAATTTGCATATTAATTAAGACAAAGAAACACAAGAGAGTGAGCTAATTTGCATAAAGGAAAGTTATATATATTAATAAAAACATCTTGTATCACAATGCACTCCAAACAATCATATAAATATAAATCATATAATTAACAACTCTTTTAAACCCAATTATCTGGATACATGCATTTAATGTAATTACCAAAGACATGCATTTATGGTGACCTCTGCAGAGTCATTGTCAATGAAATTCACTCTACCTCTCGTAAGTTAATCTCCTTCAAGTAATGAGCCATTATTCTATCTTTTGACTAAGATCTCGTAATGCTCTCACCAAATAACCCATTATATTCTATATGAATGTGAATGGTTATTATAATGTTACGATATCTTCTTTTTTGAGTTCATACATCAATGCATACACTAAAGAAGTCACAAAACAATAGGATTTTCCCCATAGAATTCTTTTTAATTTCATCAACTCATGTATCTACTACAACTTTCTCACCATTAATTATATGCACCATTAAAATCATGAACAACAATAGTATCAAATATTAGAACCATCAAATTAAAAATATAAAAAGATAGTGTATCAGAACACACAAACTAACATTCAATGGTAACAAGGCGCGCTCAACTTTGAAGCTACATAGGCTTACTGTTAAAGGAACACTTAAACGATAAAGACTGATGCTCAACACTAGTAGTCCCTGGAACTCTGTGACTTAAGAACGCTCAATTGTGAAAACCAACATTCAACGTTAAGGTCATTGGAGCTCTTTAAGTTGAGATTTTAAAGTTAGCGTTCGGTGTCACTGTGGTACAACTTAGCACCATGAAACATAATTGTTGTTGGGTACAATTTAGCTTGTTCAAATTGACGCTTCTAACTTTTTTCTACTTTGACGATTTTCTAACCCAAAATTCTTTTATTTGCATAATACCAAAATCACCCAACAAATCAAACAACACAATTTAGCATAACTTAACTACATGTTATATGACAAATTCAATAAACAGAGTGTAATATCATTCCAACCCAAAATAAAATTCTCAACCCAACCCAAGTTCACAACATATGAAATCACAACCAACTATTTAAATAAAAACACAAACTGTATAACACAAGAATTAACTTTCCTCAACAGTTCTAGATTGATTTAGACTTGAAAAAGTTTTCGAACTTGTAAATATCTTAACTCAACTTAAAAAAAAAAAAAAAACTATTGGACCAAACTAAAACAATCGATCATTCTCATCCATTAATTTAACATTTTATTATTGTTATTTATGTTTTTCAATAATTTGTTTATAGATCTTCCAAGGATAATCATTATCGATTTTCTGCGTTTACTTAATAATAATTTTACTAAATAGTTCTTTTATTTAACTATTATTATTATAATAGATTAAATATACTTTTTTTCTTTAAATTGTATTCAAATTTTTATTTCATCCTTAATTAATTGTATATCTACTTTATCTATATTTAATATAAAATATAATTTTTAATAAATGACATATAAAATATTTTTATATGATAAATAAAGTTTTAATAATATAATTTCTACATATTAATAAATGAAAAATATTTTACACAATTTTAATCAAAGATAAAATAGATATATAATTTCGTTTAAAAATAAAGTACAATTTTTTTAAAACAATATAAACACAAAAAAATATTTAATTATTATTATTTTGATATCGCAATATCTTTTCAAATAGGTTTATTATTTATTTGTAACTATGATTTACATGGAATATTGATTAGAGTTAATCCTATAAAAAGTTATCATTTTTTATGTACTCATTTTATTAATTTNGGGGGGGGGGGTTAGAGGGAGATTTGGAGTAGGTGAGTCTGAATAAAATGCAAAATGATATAAATGGTACTTGAGTTTAGGTATAAATATATTGGTGAATCCAATTTAGTGTTTTGGATGTTAGATTACACTGAGTGTTTGTCTAGGGATGTATTAAGGTAGGGATTTGGGGTTTGTCTAGCCATAATTCTACATAGTGTTGTTCTCCAGAATTATGCAGAGTGGCTGGGCGAGAGTTCCCGTTGGGTGAGCAGAGCCCACGGTTTCTGCAATGGTTGGGTGAGAGTTCCCGCTGGGCGAGTAGAGTCCACTGTTTTTGTAGTCGTTGGGTGAGAGTTCCCGTTGGACGAGCAAAACCCACATTTTTTGTGGTGATTGAGCGAGAGTTCTCACTGGGCAAAGAGAACCCTCTATTTTCGCTGGACGAGAGTTTTGGATCGTTGGGTGCCAGACTTGGTGTTGGTGTCTGTTCTTATAATTCCTTTTATTATTTTCTTGATTTCTTTAAGTTATGTTTTGTTTGATTTTGAGTTAGAGTATACTTGATTTGATGTTTATTGAACGATATTAATCTGATTGTGAGTAAGGATGATATGTAATGTGAGAAGAATCTCAAGGAGATGTTCTATGGTTGAGACAATTATTGTGAATGCTTGACAAACAAATTTTTGAAATGGAGTATCCTTATATTCTACCTGTCATTCAACTCATGTATAGATGAATAAGGTGGTGGAGAGAATGACAGAAGGTTTTTACCCTAGACTTTTGAGTCTTATGAGTGAAATATTAACCTCATGAGTAGTTGGTCGAATTACCCTTGGTTATAACTTTGCAGAGTATAAATACTACCATGAGTGCAAACTTTATATCAAAGCATTGTCAGATAATTTAGTCTAGAGTTAAATGATTATATGTTTATATGAATTATAGAATGTTTCAATGTTGAATTAATATGTGATGTATTAAATTGTTTATGAAGTTTTCTTTCAAATACTAGCTTACCCTGTTGTCTATTTTGTTGTTCTTGGTGTGTTGCTCGTTTTTTTCCTACGATGATCACTTTATTGGTAGAAGCATATGAAAGATAGGTGTTGAAGTATCGTTGATGGAGAATGGTGAGGCTACAAAACATCTTCTTAATTATCTAGTGGTTAAATTTAATTCTTATAAATATTATTATTATTATGGTTATTTTATTTTAGATAATTATACTAATATTATATCTATTAGTGGTGACAAATATATTTTGTTTTACCAATTTTATAATATCTTATTTTTATATGTGATAAACTGCTAAAATTGAGATGTTAAAGTAACAAGCTCATGTTGAATTTCGTAAACAATAATAAATAAGAAAAAATATATTTGAAGATACTACAATTTAAAAGGAATTTTTAATCTATCATTTTTTAGTTTTTAAAACATTTTTTAATCTATAACATCAATCAAATTTTTCATCAACTTTAATAAGTTTTATTTTCAAAATTATTTTTTATCCTTTTTAAATCTTTACAAAAACACACATATTTAATTTCAAATTCATCTTATTTAATTTTCAAATTCATGTGCTTATTCTTTCTTAAATTCATCTTAAGTGAACACATACTATACCAATGAACATAGACTATGAAGAAGAAGAACGAGTGAGGAAGAGAGTAACTGAAAAGGTAAAAGAAAAAGAAGTAGATGGTTTATATAAAAAGGACTTTACACTTTATGAAAGGGTTGCCATCATCATCTATGGTGAATTTAAGTTGAGATGGTGGCACTTATGATATGGGGAAAGGTGGGCTGCATCAGTGCTTAATCTACAATGTCACATCACAATGTGTAGAAAGAAAAAAAAAACACCTACGACCCCACTTCAATTTCTTTACGCTAAAGTGTAATTCATGCCTTCAATAATTCACTCAAAACCTCTATTATTCAAATTTCCTTACTTTCATCCACACCAGTTTCTAATTTTAGTATGAGTTTAATTTCTATTTTATTAAAAAATTGTAAAGATATGGGACTGCAGGTCTAAATTTGCATATTAATTAAGACAAAGAAACACAAGAGAGTGAGCTAATTTGCATAAAGGAAAGTTATATATATTAATAAAAACATCTTGTATCACAATGCACTCCAAACAATCATATAAATATAAATCATATAATTAACAACTCTTTTAAACCCAATTATCTCGATACATGCATTTAATGTAATTACCAAAGACATGCATTTATGATGACCTCTCTGCAGAGTCATTGTCAATGAAATTCATTCTACCTCTCGTAAGTTAATCTCCTTCAAGTAATGAGCCATTATCCTATCTTCTGACTAAGATCTCGTACTGCTCTCACCAAATAACCCATTATATTCTATATAAATGTGAATGGTTATTATAATGTTACGATATTTCTTTTTTGAGTTCATACATCAATGCATACACTAAAGAAGTCACAAAACAATAGGATTTTCCCCATAGAATTCTTTTTAATTTCATCAACTCATGTATCTACTACAACTTTCTCACCATTAATTATATGCACCATTAAAATCATGAACAACAATAGTATCAAATATTAGAACCATCAAATTAAAAATACAAAAAAATAGTGTATCAGAACACACAAACTAACATTCAATGGTAACAAGGCACGCTCAACTTTGAAGCTACATAGGCTTACTGTTAAAGGAACACTTAACGATAAAGACTGATGATCAACACTAGTAGTCCCTGAAACTCTGTGACTTAAGAGCGCTCAATTGTGAAAACCAACATTCAACGTTAAGGTCATTGGAACTCTTTAAGTTGTCATGAAACATAATTGTGAATTGATAAAATTTAGCTTGCTCAAATTGACGCTTCTAACTTTTTTTCTACTTTATAGTTATTGTAAAACACTTCTTAAATGACACTAATTTGACGAATTTTCTCAACCCGAAATTCTTTTATTTGCATAATACCAAAATCACCCAACAAATCAAACAACACAATTTACCATAACTTAACTACATGTTATATGATAGATTCAACAAACAAAGTGTAATATCATTCCAACCCAAAATAAAATTATCAACCCAACCCAAGTTCACAACATATGAAATCACAACCAACTATTTAAATAAAAACACAAACTGTATAATACGAGAATTAACTTTCCTCAACAGTTCTAGATGGATTTAGACTTTAAAAAGTTTTCGAACTTGTAAATATCTTAACTCAACTTAAAAACAACAAAAAAAAACTATTGGACCAAACTAAAACAATCGATCATTCTCATCCATTAATTTAACATTTTATTATTGTTATTTATGTTTTTTAATAATTTGTTTATAGATCTTCCAAGGATAATCATTATCGATTTTCTGCGTTTACTTAATAATAATTTTACTAAATAGTTCTTTTATTTAACTATTATTATTATAATAGATTAAATATACTTTTTTTCTTTAAATTGTATTCAAATTTTTATTTCATCCTTAATTAATTGTATATCTACTTTATCTATATTTAATATAAAATATAATTTTTAATAAATGACATATAAAATATTTTTATATGATAAATAAAGTTTTAATAATATAATTTCTACATATTAATAAATGAAAAATATTTTACACAATTTTAATCAAAGATAAAATAGATATATAATTTCGTTTAAAAATAAAGTACAATTTTTTTAAAACAATATAAACACAAAAAAATATTTAATTATTATTATTTTGATATCGCAATATCTTTTCAAATAGGTTTATTATTTATTTGTAACTATGATTTACATGGAATATTGATTAGAGTTAATCCTATAAAAAGTTATCATTTTTTATGTACTCATTTTATTAATTTTTTTTCTCATTGATACTTTTTTTTCCGATTATAATTACCCGATTAAAATTAAAATAAAACGTGTGGTGGCATGTTTTGTTTGCCAACCATTTAGGTGGCAAGTTTAGTACACGTCAATACATCAATAGATTTTTTTAAAGATTTTGTTTAATGCATCAATATTTCTCTTATATATGAATCCATTATATGTGTTTGTTATCAAACAATTTATACTCACATCTTGTAAGGAATGATCTATGTCATACAAAAATTGCATTCAATTTCCGTCACGTGCAAGAACTTGTGCAATTAACGAAAGTTACAAATTTCAAATAGAATTAGTATTTCATTAATATGTTGGAGGATGAAAAATTAATCTTATAATATGCAAGGTTGCATAATTAATCACGTTTTCTTATGTTGTGATATAACATCATTAAGGAGAAACCAGAAAAGGAGTTACACACAAAATATCCTGCAATCAAACAAATCATAGTTAGGCTTGCATAGGACGTCTAACTAACAAATCATTATTTTTATGAATGATCAATCCTTATTTGAAAATTTTATTTTTCCTTAAAAAAAATAGTTAGATATACAATTAGATTCGACAAATTTAATCAAAAGCTTAATTAACTTTGATCCACAATTTTAGCAATGAGACTAGAGCTAAATAACTAAAATTTAAACACATAAAACACGATATATACCTTCTCCTTGTCTGAAAAGTGAAAAATAACAATTTCAAATAGTTTTATTTTTTATCTCAAAATCAACCATCAATGGTAAAGTTTTTCTTTTCAATTGTGATGTTTACTCATTTGCAAATTTATTTTGTTTCATCGGAAAAATCATGTTACATATTTGAAGAAAACACAAAGATTCCTTCTTATAAACCAAATCTCATTTTGGGTTTGATATGGTGTTGGTTACATCTAATTCTTGTATAGAGGGATTTGATTTTGATTTGAAGTGTTGTAAATCATGTTCATACGTTTATGTATATTATAATTTAGTGATCTAAAAAGTAATAATTTTTTTTGTTACAGATCCATTTTGTGCTTCTTATCAGTCGACAAGGAAAAGTGAGGCTCACAAAATGGTATTCACCATATTCTCAAAAGGAGAGATCCAAGGTATCATATCAGTTATCAATTATAAGAAAAATGATACTCGACACATAAAATTTTTACATTCATTTGATATTATTTTTTCTTAGTTTTTGCTTTCTTCTTGAAAAAAATACAAAAACTCACTTCTTTATGATTATTTTACTCTTATATTGTGTGTCAAATGAATATAAAAGTGTGTCATCCTATCATTACTTCCATTACAACAATGATAACTCATGGTAACTACAATTACTCATAATATTCAGATTGAGTCATAAAGGTAGTTTTTCTTGTATTAAAATTAAATGTACACAACATTATTGCTTAACCTTATTCTTATTTTATTTGTTCTATTTCTTTATTCTTTGGAAGATAATTAGAGAGTTATGTGGATTAATTATCTCTAGAGCTCCGAAACTGTGCAACTTTGTGGAGTGGAAGGGATTCAAAGTTGTTTATAAAAGGTTAACTTTATTGTTTTGAATGTATGGTTAACAAAATACATTCAAGTGTAAAAGTTGACAATGTCTTAGTTTTGGTTATTGATTAGATATGCTAGTCTCTACTTCTGCATTTGCAATGATGAAGAAGACAACGAATTAGAGACCTTGGCCATTATTCATCACTTTGTCGAGACGTTGGATCGTTATTTTGGCAGTGTTAGTATCAAATANTCTAATTTTAGTATGAGTTTAATTTCTATTTTATTAAAAAATTGTAAAGATATGGGACTGCAGGTCTAAATTTGCATATTAATTAAGACAAAGAAACACAAGAGAGTGAGCTAATTTGCATAAAGGAAAGTTATATATATTAATAAAAACATCTTGTATCACAATGCACTCCAAACAATCATATAAATATAAATCATATAATTAACAACTCTTTTAAACCCAATTATCTCGATACATGCATTTAATGTAATTACCAAAGACATGCATTTATGATGACCTCTCTGCAGAGTCATTGTCAATGAAATTCATTCTACCTCTCGTAAGTTAATCTCCTTCAAGTAATGAGCCATTATCCTATCTTCTGACTAAGATCTCGTACTGCTCTCACCAAATAACCCATTATATTCTATATTAATGTGAATGGTTATTATAATGTTACGATATTTCTTTTTTGAGTTCATACATCAATGCATACACTAAAGAAGTCACAAAACAATAGGATTTTCCCCATAGAATTCTTTTTAATTTCATCAACTCATGTATCTACTACAACTTTCTCACCATTAATTATATGCACCATTAAAATCATGAACAACAATAGTATCAAATATTAGAACCATCAAATTAAAAATACAAAAAAATAGTGTATCAGAACACACAAACTAACATTCAATGGTAACAAGGCTCGCTCAACTTTGAAGCTACATAGGCTTACTGTTAAAGGAACACTTAACGATAAAGACTGATGATCAACACTAGTAGTCCCTGAAACTCTGTGACTTAAGAGCGCTCAATTGTGAAAACCAACATTCAACGTTAAGGTCATTGGAGCTCTTTAAGTTGAGATTTTAAAGTTAGCGTTCGGTGTCACTGTGGTACAACTTAGCACCATGAAACATAATTGTTGTTGGGTACAATTTAGCTTGTTCAAATTGACGCTTCTAACTTTTTTCTACTTTGACGATTTTCTAACCCAAAATTCTTTTATTTGCATAATACCAAAATCACCCAACAAATCAAACAACACAATTTAGCATAACTTAACTACATGTTATATGACAAATTCAATAAACAGAGTGTAATATCATTCCAACCCAAAATAAAATTTTCAACCCAACCCAAGTTCACAACATATGAAATCACAACCAACTATTTAAATAAAAACACAAACTGTATAACACAAGAATTAACTTTCCTCAACAGTTCTAGATGGATTTAGACTTTAAAAAGTTTTCGAACTTGTAAATATCTTAACTCAACTTAAAAAAAAAAAAAAAACTATTGGACCAAACTAAAACAATCGATCATTCTCATCCATTAATTTAACATTTTATTATTGTTATTTATGTTTTTTAATAATTTGTTTATAGATCTTCCAAGGATAATCATTATCGATTTTCTGCGTTTACTTAATAATAATTTTACTAAATAGTTCTTTTATTTAACTATTATTATTATAATAGATTAAATATACTTTTTTTCTTTAAATTGTATTCAAATTTTTATTTCATCCTTAATTAATTGTATATCTACTTTATCTATATTTAATATAAAATATAATTTTTAATAAATGACATATAAAATATTTTTATATGATAAATAAAGTTTTAATAATATAATTTCTACATATTAATAAATGAAAAATATTTTACACAATTTTAATCAAAGATAAAATAGATATATAATTTCGTTTAAAAATAAAGTACAATTTTTTTAAAACAATATAAACACAAAAAAATATTTAATTATTATTATTTTGATATCGCAATATCTTTTCAAATAGGTTTATTATTTATTTGTAACTATGATTTACATGGAATATTGATTAGAGCTAATCTTATAAAAAGTTATCATTTTTTATGTACTCATTTTATTAATTTTTTTTCTCATTGATACTTTTTTTTCCGATTATAATTACCCGATTAAAATTAAAATAAAACGTGTGGTGGCATGTTTTAGTTGCCAACCATTTAGGTGGCAAGTTTAGTACACGTCAATACATCAATAGATTTTTTTAAAGATTTTGTTTAATGCATCAATATTTCTCTTATATATGAATCCATTATATGTGTTTGTTATCAAACAATTTATACTCACATCTTGTAAGGAATGATCTATGTCATACAAAAATTGCATTCAATTTCCGTCACGTGCAAGAACTTGTGCAATTAACGAAAGTTACAAATTTCAAATAGAATTAGTATTTCATTAATATGTTGGAGGATGAAAAATTAATCTTATAATATGCAAGGTTGCATAATTAATCACGTTTTCTTATGTTGTGATATAACATCATTAAGGAGAAACCAGAAAAGGAGTTACACACAAAATATCCTGCAATCAAACAAATCATAGTTAGGCTTGCATAGGACGTCTAACTAACAAATCATTATTTTTATGAATGATCAATCCTTATTTGAAAATTTTATTTTTCCTTAAAAAAAACAGTTAGATATACAATTAGATTCTACAAATTTAATCAAAAGCTTAATTAACTTTGATCCACAATTTTAGCAATGAGACTAGAGCTAAATAACTAAAATTTAAACACATAAAACACGACATATACCTTCTCCTTGTCTGAAAAGTGAAAAATAACAATTTCAAATAGTTTTATTTTTTATCTCAAAATCAACCATCAATGGTAAAGTTTTTCTTTTCAATTGTGATGTTTACTCATTTGCAAATTTATTTTGTTCCATCGGAAAAATCATGTTACAGATTTGAAGAAAACACAATGTGAGATTCCTTCTTATGAACTAAATCCCATTTTGGGTTTGATATGGTGTTGGTTACATCTAATTCTTGTATAGAGGGATTTGATTTTGATTTGAAGTGTTGTAAATCATATTCATATGTTTATGTATATTATAATTTAGTGATGTAAAAAGTAATAATTTTTTTTGTTACAGATCCATTTTGTGCTTCTTATCAGTCGACAAGGAAAAGTAAGGCTCACAAAATGGTATTCACCATATTCTCAAAAGGAGAGATCCAAGGTATCATATCAGTTATCAATTATAAGAAAAATTATACTTGACACAAAAATTTTACATTCATTTGACATAGTTTTTTCTTAATTTGTACTTTCTTCTTGAAAAAAATACAAAAATTCACTTCTTTATGATTATTTTACTTTTATACTGTGTGTCAAATGAAAGTGTGTCATTCTATCATTACTTCCATTACAATGATAACTCATGGTAATTACAATTACTCATAATATTCAGATTGAGTCATAAATGTAGTTTTTCTTGTATTAAAATTAAATGTATACAACATTATTGCTTAACCTTATTCTTATTTTATTTGTTCTATTTCTTTATGCTTTGGAAGATAATTAGAGAGTTATGTGGATTAATTATCTCTAGAGCTCCGAAACTGTGCAACTTTGTGGAGTGGAAGGGATTCAAAGTTGTTTATAAAAGGTTAACTTTATTGTTTTGAATGTATGGTTAACAAAATACATTCAAGTGTAAAAGTTGACAATGTCTTAGTTTTGGTTATTGATTAGATATGCTAGTCTCTACTTCTGCATTTGCAATGACGAAGAAGACAACGAATTAGAGACCTTGGCCATTATTCATCACTTTGTTGAGACGTTGGATCGTTATTTTGGCAGTGTTAGTATCAAATATAGTTGTATTATAATTTTTTCATAATTTGTACTCATGGTCTGAATCTGTTTATCTCTTACTTCTCTTATCAGGTTTGTGAGCTCGATTTGATTTTTAATTTCCATAAGGTAATTTGTTTCCTCTTAAACTATATTTGCATATTGCTAGAGAACATTAGATCTTATAATCAAATGTCATGTTAAATATTATCTTCTCCTATTCTCACATCTTTTAGAAATATGGTATAAATACGTCTCATTCGAGACACATTTGACTTATTCTATAAAAGTTATGTAAGAAACTTCTTTAATTTTTTTTACTTAGTATCTCGATGGATGTGATTTACCTTAATAACGAGTTTCCTTCTTTAATAAGTTTTTTTACTCAAAACAAAAATCTACAACTCGATCAAACACTCCTAAATATCTATTTTTTCTCATTTTAATCACATCATTGTATAACTCAATGCAAATAATTCATATAATTTCTACAAAAAAGAAATCCATAATAGTGTAATTAAATCATATAAATATAACACTTAACTTTTATAAATGAAACATGTATTTGAAAATAGAGGAACATCACTTTAGTTAGTCATCCTTGCTTCAATGGCTTTCATTCAAAAATGAAATCAAGTTATTGATTCTTTCTCACTTAAGTTGAGAACTCAATGACATATCTTGTTTCTTAAGCAATTAATATATTACTTGAGCTCTGGATTTCCTAAAACTAAGAGACTTTACAATTTGTCATTACTTTCTCACATTATTTCAGAAATAAGAAATTAAAAGAAAAGATAATTGTCTTAGTGTTCCCATCCCAAAAAGAGTCTTAATTTGAATATTAAACAATGTTATTTGAACAACAACTCACTTTGTTTCTTAAATTATTATTATTATTATTTTCATTCTCTTTTGCTATCTTTTCACTTCCATATATTTTCACTTAATTCTTATAACGAAATGATATATAGAGAAGAAACTCTAATACATATTTTTTCTTCCATCCATTCTTTAAATTGTTTTATATTGTTATGAAAGATCGAAAATATTCAATGGTCTTTTCAAAATAATCTTTAATATTTTCCAATGCAATTCAACCAAGTTAATAGATTATCTAATGTCATTTTATTGAGTGAAATAATTAAACAAGATTACTAATAAAAATAATTTGTTACCTCTTCTTCATTTACTGTGGTACATACGGTGGCCTATATTTTAAACTTGTTTTACCAAACTATCATTACTTTCTGATTTTATTATATTTGTCAGATATCCTTAATCTTTTCAACCTAGTTGTAACGTTTTGTTCAACTCTATAAGGTTGATCATGAATCATAATGTTTTTTCAATATAAAATTGGAAGTGGCGTATAATTTAGAATTATATAGTAAGAAAATAATGTAGAATTTAGAAGATGTTTACGTTGCATGAATGATTAAAATTGAACTTG